ACTTTTTAGACGCAAGTCTGGTCTGAGCTTCTTCAGGGAAATAATCAAAATGTAAATGTCAAGAAAGCATAAATGAATCCAAAGATGTTAACTTAATCGCCCTGTCCAGTCCTGTTAAAACACGATTTGGCTCACATAAATGTAAACCATATCCAATGTCTAAGTAGATCAAAGCTTGGAAAACAACAATAAGGTTGCTTAATACTGAAGGATGATGACTGCAGATTGATAAAGTTGAGGTGTGCATATAGTAACTCTGTAAAAGGTGTGACAAAAATTTTAAAAAACAGGGAAAAAAGCATTTCAAAAATCCGTGGGTAACTCCATTCATCAAGTTTTCCCGGCCATTGTTGCTTACGATAACCGTGTAATTTTATTCTGGTAGTACTAAATGGGAAGTCGTGAAATGACATAGAGATACTTTATTCAGCAAATGTTTGTTTTCTTGTTTCCCTTATGTATACATAGTTAATCAAGTGTATATGCCTGTTACTGCTGCTTCACCGCTTAATCCAGATTGTTTGATGGAATGAAATTTATATGCATATGAATCACACCGACAGATGATGGCTACATAAAATAAAAAACTACTAATTTAATTTGAGGCTAATGGAGGTTTGCTTTTAAGGTAGCATTCATTATCGACTGACAAAGTTAGAGAGCCATTAAACACCTGGGAACACTGGAAAGCTGTTTCTTCCTGGCAAAAGACGAGTCAGCAACACACACCAACCACTCAATCAGGGGTCAAAATCAGAACCCTCAGCTTTCATGGCGAACGCCTTAGCCATTCACCCACTCGGTCAAAGTCCGATGGTCCACACTTTCCTACTTCTGTCAAGTCACCATATAGCGCGATTAGCACCCAACATCTTCAGTTGGCATCCGCTTCCCTTCCAAATGGTTGATCACACACGTCTCGGCTTCTCATTGGGACTTCAGTATATCCATCTGGAAGCATGTCAGTAATGAGCACTGAACAGTAATGCAGTTTTTGGAGTAAATGTGGACTTTATTTGTCAAGACTGATATCCCGAGAAGCCATGACCAAGGGATCAATCAGCCGGAAGGACGCTGGACACCAACTGAAGAACTTGGATGGTGGCCACGCGATATCATGGATTGGCAGAATTAGGAAACAGTGGACCACCGAACTCTAACTGAGTGCCTGAATGTTTCACGCATTCACCGTGAAACCTGAAGGCCTGAGTTCGATCTATAACCGGATCGTGGGCACATACTCCTGAGAAGTCTAACACCAGGACGAAATAGCTTTCCAGTGCTCCCAGATTTACAATGGTTCTCCAAATGACGTCAGACTTTGATGAATGCTACCTTTAAAAATACTAATCAAAAATAATAGAAGGGTCATTTTTAGCAGCAAGTGACTCTAGATTTCAGATTATATTTGTTTATTTGATTGATAACATAGTGATACAGTATGATTTACTTGATGACGTTTCGAGCATAGACTATTGCTCATAACAATACCAATGTAATCACACTACTTTCAACATCTGGTTTTTATAATCCTGTCATCTCATATGAGTCGTTTTTATTGGTAGTAAAATTTCCCACATCTCTGGCATAGGTGTTGCGTAATTCCCATTACATGTGTTGGGTGTTGATTCGATGAACAAAGATTCCGTAAGCAATCTCTCTCTCCACCTCATCATATCGCACTTAAGTAGAGTAGTTTTATCCCACCCTATTGTGTAGTTGTGTGTTAATGCCTACATTGCAATAGCCGAGTTGTTTTCTAAACAATTGATCTTATTCGGGTCTGTCATTCTATATTCAGCTAAATTCCTATGTTCCGTTATTCTAACTGACCGTGACCGGCCAGTTTGTCCTATGTATTTGACCTCGGAGTTATTACATGGAATTTGATAGATTATATTATTTTGCTTAATTGGTTCTATCGGATCGGATCCTTAAGCCGGCCGACTGAGCTTATATCTGAGTGAGTTTGTAGGCTTAATTGCCACCCTAATTCCAGCTTTGTTGAGGATCCTACTTAAAGTTTCTGATGTACGTTGCTTATTTATTATTATTATTATTATTAGTCACTTGGGTTCCTAGTGGAACATAGAGCTTCAGTTGCACGTCTCCAGTGACCTCTGTTCTCTGAAATCTTTTGAACCAGGTTCCACGACAGCCCAGAAGCTCTCATTTCCTCCTCGCATGACCTCCTCCATGTCACCCTCGGACGTCCAACTCGTCGCTTCCCATGGGGATTCCACTCGAGGGCCTAGCCTGACGCGTGATGTCCTCAGTCGGCCTTCTCAGTGTATGCCCAATCCATCTCCACTTCCTTCCAGTGAATATTTGTTGAGTGACAGGTTCTTGGTTAGTTCGTTCCCAGAGCTCCTTGTTGCTTATTCTTATTATTCTAGCCATCTGATCTTCAGTAACGAGCCAGCGTAAGCAGTTGTTGATGAATGTCTGTAGTTTATTGGAAATCCCTTTCGTAACGCGCCAAGTCTCTCAACCATCAAACAGAAGCACTGACTTGACTGAGTTGGTGTTGAAAATCCGGATCTTGTTCACGCTTTATGCTGAGTGCAGAGGATCTCCACACTGGTTTCAGGCTAATGAACACCTGTCTTGCTGTTTTTCCGATTCTGACTTTGACATCCTCGTCTGTCCCGCCTGTAGTTGAAACAGTGCTTCCTAGATAAGTGAAGGAGGTTACTTCCTTTAAGTTTCTCCCGTTGACGGTGATTGGAGTTTGTTGTTGTTGTTGATGTTGTTGGTGCGGTATTTTCATCACTTCACCTGAAGTCCCGTCTTAGCTGCCTCTTCTATCAACTTGTTAGTTTTTGCCTGTAGATCTTCAAGTTTGTGTGACATCAGACACAAGTCATCGGCGAAATCTAGATCTTCTAGGTTCTTTTCTGCAGTCCAGCGTATAACCCTCTTCTCGCTCCCCACTGTTTGCTGCATGATCCAGTCCAGTCCACCACAATCAGGAATATCATGGGGGATAGTGGACAACCTCGTTTCACTCCTGTCTTCAGTTCACTTCAAAGGCATCACTGAGCTTCCCATTGTGAATTACTTGGCATGTGGCATCTTCATATAGTTGTTGAGTGAGGCTGATAAAGGTTTGTGGTATTCCGTAGTAGTGAAGCAGTTTCCAAATTACTTCTCGGTCGACGCTGTCAAAGGCCTTCTCAGAGTCGATGAAGTTGAGGTAGAGAGCTGATTGCCATTCTATGCTCTGCTCTAGGATGATGCGAAGCGTTGCAATTTGGTCTGCACATGATTTGTTCTTCCTGAAGCCAGCCATGCTGTTCCGGTCGTAGTTTTGAATCCAGTGCAGCCTTCAGCCTCTCCAGGATGATGCGGCTCAATATTTTACTTGGGGTGGACAGGAGAGTGATTCCGCTCCAGTTCTTGCAAACACTGAGGTCTCCCTTCTTCGGCAGTTTGACAAGGTAACCCTTCTTCCAATCACTAGCCAGGTACCTTCTCTTCCTTCCACACCTTCTGCAATAGTGGTGTGAGCATGTCGGCTGTTGTCCCTGCATCTGTTCTCAGTGCTTCTGGTGGGATTCCATCTGGTCCTGCTGCTTTCCCGCATTTCAGTAGCTTTATGGCGTTCAGGACTTCCATTTTCGTTGGGGGATTAATGTTCACTTGTAATTCAGCGGCTGCAGGTGGTATTTCTGGACGAAGTGCAGGTGGTGGTCGATTCAAGAGCTTCTTGAAGTGGTCGGCCCATTGTTTCCTCTGTTTCTCTTCTTCCGTAATTAAATTTCCTTCTTCATCTTTCATTGGTTTCATCTGTGTTGGTCCCTTCCCTGATAGCAACCTGGTTATTTGATACAATGTCGTCAGGTCTCTCTTACCTGCAGCCTGTTCTGCTTCACTTGCCAGTGTTTCGTAGAAGTGTCTTTTGTCTTTCCGTGCACTCTTCTTCACTGCCTTGTCCAGTGCTTTATACATTGTGCTCAGTTCCTCTTGTCGTTGAGCATCCTTGCACT